GGGGAGCGCCCCCTGCCGTGCCCCGATGCCCCTCCTGGCTGCTGCCTTCCTACGACAGCATCCTGGTTAAAAATAAAACCCCACGCCAAGGCAGTGAATGGGGTTCTGATTTCCCTGCGAAGGTCTGGGTGATGGGGAGAGATGCGCGTTGTAAATAGAACAGCATATCCATGGCAACCCCAACTTTTCATTATTGTTAATTACTTGCAGGGTGCCAGAGCCGCGCATGGCGCTTCCCGGCGCGGATAAAGATAGATTCCCCCTTTGAAAGCCTCTCCAAATGACATGGAGGCGACAGTGAGCTCCTGGGAGGCTGGAGCCGGGTCTGGCAGGCAGCGACGGAGACATTTTGTGAGGAGTCAGAGAGGAGCTGGGATTTAAAGGAGGAGGGACTGGCGTGGCAGAGGCAGCCAGGAGCTCAGAGGCGGTTTTTCTCCCTAAAAACACCTTCCCCGAGTGTCGGGAAATGGTTCAGAGGGGCTGTAACAGCACCCACCCGGCTGGGAGGAGGGGGAGAGGGGCTGCCCTGTGCCAAGCACTGGCTTTTCTTTCCTCTCTGGTTAATGGTGCTCAAGGGAGTGTGGAGGGGAGGACTCGCCAGTGGCGGTTGCCACCGAAGGGGCAGGGATCTGTTGGTGCTGGCTGGAGCCCTTGTGCCCCGCAGGAACCTCCTGCCAACAGCCTGCTCTGTTTTAAAACCAACGCAGCTGAGCTCACGTCTGAGCAGAGAGCTCAGCCTCAGCTGGCACCGCTTGGGTGGGTTTTGCTTGTCTGTTTGTTGGGTTTTATTTTCTTGGAAGTGGTTTGAAAGCTCTGGGGTGCAGAGGTCCCCATCCTGCCTCCCCCCATCAGTCGGTTTGGCCCCAGCTGGTGCTACAAGCTGTTAAGATTTGTACCCCAAACCCTGAAACATCCCAGCCCTGCTTCCCCACTGCCTCACGCCTTCCCACTCACCTTGCAAGAGAAAAGTCTCTTTTCTGGTTCCTCCCCTGGCCAGTTAAAGGATTCCCAGTTCTCCCCTTTCCAGAGATCTCTCCTCCCTGACATTTTCCAGATGGCCAAATGATTTAGCGCTGCCCAAAGCACAGGGCTTGGCAGCAGCTGGGCTTTGAGCTGTTCTGTGTTTGGTTAAAGCAGGTCACACTCCCGGTCCTGTCTGGGTCCCTTTGGGGCAAAGGAACGTCCCTGAAGTTTGCTGGGAGGGGATGTCGCCGATCTCGGGATGGTCACAGCCGGTCCCAGTGTCTGGCTGCTGGTGTACTGGTTTTGTACGTGTCGTGGCACAGGAGATGGGGCGAGAGGCAAGGTAGCTTGGCTGTTTGTTTAATGTTAAAAGACAACTGGGAAAAACATTCCTGAGGATTTACAGCTTACTTTGTCCCTTCCCTTGGCATTCCCAGTCTATACAGTCTCAATTTCTACAGACTTTAATCTTCAACATGTGGTTTATTCCTGCTGCTTTTCTTTAAATAGCATTATTTTCTAGCTAATTTAGTGGCCACACCCATACAGCCACTGCTCTGCATTTATCTCTTCAGCTCTCATGGTGAGAAGCTGATGGATAGATACAGGCAGTTGTATGACCTTTAAGTCTGACTCGAGCCCAGGAACACAGATCTAAGATTGTTTCAAGTCATTTTGATTTTATTACAAACCAAAATACTTCACATTCAATGGCACCTCGGGTACATTTGGGGAAAAATAACACCCAAACCCTAAACCCTGTAAATTGGTATCAGGATGACTGTAGCTCAGTTAGGCTTTTCCACATGAGATCCCAAACTTGAAAGTACCCAACATCCCACCTGCTTTGGCTGTTGTGTTACTTATGGGATGTTATTTCAGCCTTATACGTTAGCAATACGGGGTGTCTGGTAGAGACTTTCCTGCCCAGTAAACCAGGCCACACTGCAGCTGAAAAGAACCATCTTCATCATCCAATTGTATTTTCCAATCCAGATGTCTTGTACTGCAGTCCTACAATGGATCACCCGATGTGACGGGGTTCTGGGTGTGTGTGTGTGTAGTAACTTGTTGCACCTCATCACTGCTTTGTTGGTCGACTGGGTTTGTGGCTGCTAATGTGATGAGCTGAGAGAGTAAGGCCCCAGGAAGAGGAGGGCAGGAAGGGCTGAAGCGCGTGCTCTGGGCAGTCTGTCCTGCTCTGGGCAGTCTACCAGCCATGACTGGCGTTATCTTTTGTAAGAGAACGTCAGGGTTCTGAGTGTCTTTTTAATTATGTTCCAAAGGCTGCTCTGGTTGTAACATCCAGCCTTTGCAAGGAGCTGGAGCAACAAAGACTAAGCTGAGGGATTCTATAGAACTTGACAATCACAAATGAAGTAGCCAGCAGATGAAGCTTATTGGTTTGTACAGTGCTCTCATGCTGTGATATGTGCTAATATCACATAAAAGTAACAACTGTTGAGGAGCTTCCCTGCAATGTCCTTTCCCATCTTTTATCACAATTAAGTTGAAAAGACTGGACCACTGCAAGCTCTATTTTTATACCTTTGGGCATGAGCTATCTCCTTTGAAAGCTGACACTGTTTTAGGAGGAGTACAAGAAGGGAGGGGACTGAACTCCTATACCCCTGTACTCACACAAAGTCAAAGTGTGACTCTCATTATGTGCTGCTCTTCTGTCCTTATCCTGTGTCACTGTCAGAATAAAAGTACCACGATTCTCTTTTAGTTACAAGAGGTGTTAGAAGTGAATGGCCATTCACATTGAAGATTAGCTTATATGGCATATGATTCTTTCCAGTGCTACATGGCAGTGTAATTCTGACAACAGCCATGTTAACCAGCAGTCGAAAGGAAACCAGACAGAGAAATGTCAGTATTGGTACAATTTCACAAAGCTCCCTACTTGATTTTACAAAAAAAAAAAAAAAAAAGCCCCAAAAGATTTTAAACAGAAAGGAAATGTCCTTCATTCAACACTGTTAAAATCTTTCAGCGCTGTCAAAGTGACTTCAAAGCTTCTCCACATCTGTCTGCTCCAGCCAAAGGGCTGATGCCTGTCCTCAGGCTTTCGTGATGTACCCTTCCCTGATAAGGAAGTCATAGATTTTCCTGGTTTTGTTCACATCGATCTTGATGAGTGCTCTCGCCTGCGCCAGTCTCAGGCCTCCTTGTTTGTTACACTCGTTCACTAAAGCAGCTTTATATTCCAAATAGGCTCCAGGGACCAACCTCACCATCTGACAGAGCTGGAAGACAAAAGGTGAAGTTAATAAACACTAATACTTGTCATGCTCTTTCCTTCTGCGATCCCTGTTGGGGGAGGAACATTGTGAATATTTTCCTGAAAACATTTTCAATGTGTTTTTGATACGGGGGGGGGGAAAGCACACAAGAATTGTGTTATGAGCTGGTTTAATCCACAGGTAGGGAGGGGAGGAGCTTGCTGGCTGCTGCCTTCAAAAACATTCCTGACTAAAAAATAAACCAGGAGGATGAAAGCAAGCTCTGGGCTCACAGGAGCGTAACTATGAGTGTGTCCTGTGTGGGCGTTGTTCTTTACAAACCAAGGGAAGTACACATGCCAAAGAGGCTTGCAACCAGCAATTCAGCGTGCTGGACCAGAGCCAGGGAGGGCATCTGTCTATTAATCCCCTGCAGACTAAGTCTTTAATACCTTTCTACAAAAGCAGCTATGCACACAACGCTTGCCCCCTCCTGAAGTCTAGGATGGAAACTGGGCAGGGAGGACACTACGTGTTTGGAAGGAAGTTTGGTAAAAGGAATTGCTTCCAAAAGCCCCTGTGCTCTGCTGTTGGGTTGCAACGCTCCCATTTAGCTTCCAAATACCAGCTGCCTTTGAGATGGTGCGCTGTATTGTTCCCAGTGGAGATACTGGCTGTCTCCTCCTTTTAATAAGGAAATGCTTAATGATTGTTCCTCATTAATAGGAAATTGCAGAATTCAGAGGAACTCAGACTTTATGTCTCAGCTGATGAGGAAATCAGATTGCCCATATACACTAATGTCCTAGTCACGATTATTTATATGCTGAATGGAGCCAGAAATGCCATGTTCCATGGTGAACCTGTGAGCGGATTTTCAATGCTGCCATCTCCAGTGAAGGGGAAACAGCTTCCACACAGAGGGAGAAGTCTGAAATACATCAGTGTTTCACACGCACTGAGGTCTGCCTTGCAGACAACCTAAGGACAGGTTATGACTTTTATTTAAAAAAAACCCAAACAAACAACCCTTTAATTTCAATAGCTTTGCAGTGTTGCCTTTCACTGAAGCAGAGGACAGGCCTACACTGGGCTGTAGATGAAACTGGGCTGTAAATACACGGCAGGCCCCTTCCTGCCCTGTGTACCTCTCCTGGTACAGGGGTTGTGGCCCCATTTCTGGCTGCTCTGTTGATCTTCCCTGTGCCTCTGACTGCTCGAGGTGACTGTGCAAGAGCACTCTACATGGGACTGCAAACTGCAAGGCCAGGCCAAGCTAAAACCCTCGGCTTAAAGAAATTCAGGTCCCATTCTCTGCCACATGTGAGTACCAAAAGGTTGGTAAATGCACTGAAAAGCAGGAACATGGACAAAACACACGAAGAAGAATAGCCTGTTCTTGCCTCCATGGTTCACATTAGTGTTACAGTGAAAAACCAGCCATGACTGGCTGAGGTTTGGCTGTGAGGTATCTGTAATATAAAAAGAGCTTCAGTGATCTGTACAGTGAAGCCCTTAACAAAATCCTCTGCCAATTTTAAAACAGATGTTCATTAAGAGAAGAAAAAAAAAAACAAACAAAAACCCTTTTGCTCACCCCAGTCTCACAATGGAGGAGAGGATGTCATACTCAGGATGTTCTAATGGCAGGTAATAGCACCCTGGTGTGCTCCACCTCTCCTTGCTACATAAGCTAATCTGTTGGAGCTTGTTGTAGGTATAGTGCAGTAACCAACATTAAGAAGCCAACTGGAAAACCTGAATGATTTTTGTGAGCAGGAAAGAGGAGTCAGGGCATACAGCCGAGGTGATGTTCACAGCACCCGAGACAGATGGTGTGAGCATCCCTGCACTGTGAAGATAAAAGTTTTATATAGATTATTTTTCCATTCTTTTCCTCACCTCCTTCTCCTTCTCATTAAGTTTCTCTGTCCCCGGGAGACCTGTGAGGTTCAGTGGTGGGGCACTCCGTCTACCTGCGGAGACAAGAAAGGAAAACATTGAAGAACTCTGAGCAGTTTGGTGGTGGCTGTTCCTTAGGTGTGATCACAGAGACAGTTAAATCCCCGTGATGTTAACCCAGTGTGATCCAAGTGTTTATAGACCAGGTTATTTAGGGCTCAACACAAAACCAGCAGTGATTTGACAAAAGCTATGGTTTTGCAACCACCGTCGTCAAGCGCTGCGAGTGCTTGCGTGAGGACTCTGGGGCTGTTAACCCTGGCTCGCTGGCTTTGAGGAGGAACTGGAAGACAAGAGCTTTCTGTCATTGGCACTGACTGTGGTTAAGCTGGGCAGGACCTCCTGACTAAAGCAACTCTTGCAGCTGGGGTGAGGGAGGACAGCGCTGTGTGGAGGGTGTGCCCGGGCGTGCAGGACTAACTCCCAGCAAGTGGGAACCCGCACTCTGCAAGGATGCTGAGACTGGTTGTTGTTGGGATTAGCAGTGAATCTCTCTGGTGTTACTGACAACTTCACGAAGCAGAGTTTTCTTTCAGTGTCTTTAAACACGATTGTAAAGCGTGATGCAGTTTGTGGATTTACTTCTGTCTGTTACGATAAACAGTACGAGAAGAAATATTACCACATAGTCTGATAGTTCTTGCTTTTGCAATGATTTATAACTTTGCTGAATTTTAACTGGTGCAGCCTAAGCTTTCACGAGGGCTACTTTTGCAGCTTGGTTTTTTTCCTACTATCATTTTTTTTTTAACTTCCAGAGCTCAGAACAAAGCTCGGGTTATTGACATTATTAGAAAGTCTGTTGCCCCTGTGCTGTGGGTTGCGTATTTGGCGCTGTCAGGGAGCAGTTTCTTTGTCCCAAGACAAACTTCCCAAATCTGGCAAAGTGATTAGATCTTGGAAAATCTGCAGCTCTGTTTTCCCAAGGTCTGTGCTGGCGGCTGCTCCAGGCCCTGCCCTGTCTAGGTCTCACCTCTGGGACTGGGGAATTTCTTTCTCCTGTGCATCTGTAGGAGAAAGATGGGACCCTGATCAGAGAGAACACTGAAGGACTAAAAAGAAGCTGGAGTAATGAGTCTCTGGTAGGTGTAGAAGTTATTTCCTAGCACTGCTCCCTCTTCCTACAGCCTGGAACGAGCGTGGTATGATGAGACATGACAGAATTTGGTTGTACTCTTTTATAAACCCAGGAAATAACACACACACGCAAGCTACATTAAAGAAAACATATTAAAGCTGCAAAGATCTCAAAATCTAGTAGTAAAGTTGAGCAACGTTCATTTGCCCTCTTGTATATTCAGTATGATGCAGCCTTTAATTATACAGACACGTGGCAGTTTTTCTGCAGTATCCTTGCCTTATTCAGTATGCAGGATGGCTGCTTAATTAGCAACTATATGGTATTTTGTTTGGGTTTTGTTCAGCATGTGATACTGGTTGTAAACACTGCCTGCTAGCTGAATTCCAGAGGCAAAACAATTCATGTTCTCTTGGGCTCTTTTCCTTCGTTGGCCACTGAATACTTGACAAGAAATTAATTTCATGATTCATATACTGGCCCTTCAGCTGGGGGAATACTGTCCCCACTTCATGGGTTCTGGATGCCAAGCCTGAGAGACACACTGCTATCTTCTCTCCAAAACACCAGATCTTGGCTGTCACCAAATATGTTTAAAGCATCGTGCACGCTGACTTCTGCAATGAGTAATTGCTTTGTATTCTGACCCAAATTCCCAAGGCTCCTGGCAGAAATGAGGGAGCACATAGACTCAGTGCTCACCTCTGAGAAGTTTGGTCTAAGTGGTTTATTAGCATCCACATAAAAACTGGATGTTAGAGACAGAGCTAGAAGCTGGTTTTCCTTGGCAACATTTAACAGCCTTATAGGAAAACTTTACCCTAGCAGTGCTTAACCACGAAGCTTGAGGACTGACACTTGTGCACTGATGCAGGAGTTGCTCTCCAGTGGCTGTCAGAACAGTATTACAGCTTTTTATCACCAACTATCACCTAACAGTTACCTGAATTGGAAGGAACTGGTACCGTGGGAGTCAGGCCGGAGTCACTGAAAAGAAAGGAAATTTTCAAATTGCCTTAATGTTTTTGTTTGGTTGCTGTTTTTTTTCTGAAGAATAACTGCAGGTATTGGCCCTGAAACTACTTTTTCCCCAACTTCTAATAATGATACAATTCAACTTGCATAAGTCAGGCCCTGAAGTCAAGAGGATTCTAAATTTTCAGCACTCCCAGTTTGAAGACTGTGTCTGAGAGCTTTTTAAAAATTAAAAAAAAAAAAAGAGGAGGGGAGGGAACACAAAAAATTCAGTGGAGACTGACTGAGGAAATTCCAAATCATCTTCTCAGACCATGGAGCACACAAGACGTGTTTGCTTTGCATTGCAGCTTGCTCCTTCAATCAAAGGTGCTTCTGCAGGGTGACTACACATTAATAATGCTGCTACATCTAAAACCATCTGAAACATTTCCAGTGTCATCTGTGCCCTCATTAACATCCATAAAGACCTCATTTCCCTCCACAACTTTATTAACAGCAGTTAAGTTCCTGAAGTATAAAACACAGAGATTTTAAGCCCTTACTAGTCTTGCCTTCAACCAGTGCTACTGCTGATATCCAGAGCTTCCTGCCCCCCTGCGTTCTGCAGACTGTTCCTACTGTCATAAATTGGGAATGTGTTTGTTGTTATCAGACAGAAGAACGTGTCTGATGCACCTGACTAAAGCACAGGTATGTCAAAAGCAGAGCCTTACTGTGACCGTACATATCAGCCTGTCGACTGAGCCACTGCTGGCAGGCGCTGCTGTCCTGGATGTACTGCAGGACTTCGGAGAGCATGGTGCGCTTCAGGCGCTCCTCGTCCCTCGTCTTCTTGAGGTGATCGTACGTTCTGGCGCCTGTGGCAAACACATACCATGTTCTCACCAGCTGCCTCAGTCAGTGTTTTCAGATTGTTGTTTTTCCACTTTAGGAAATAAGGCAGAAACTGTTCTCTAGCACTGGACCAGACTCTGCTATTCTCCCTCATGACAACTACTTGGCATGGGAAGGTATTAGATTCCATCCTGCACCCCTCCCCCCTTAATTTCAGGCCAAAAACAAACAAAAAAGGCTTCCATGAGCCAACTCCAGGATAAAACAGGCCATTTCACTTATGTAGAGGTCTTAACCCTCTCTCCAGTTATCACACTTGTTGATAGCCACTGAAAGTGTCCAGAGATAAAGCACTGGAGACCACTGTGCCATGACACATCGATTTTTCTCTGGCTCTTTTGCAGAGTGGTGACTAGAGCACAGCTCTGCTAGACAGCGTGTTCTCCAAGCTGATGGCTCAAACTAGGTTTAAAAATGCACAGCTGGACTGAAGCATTATTGCTAAAGCCTTGTACTGTTAAAGAGGTAGGCAAATGCATTTCAAAAATAAGTGTCTCTTTATTCAGTACATCCTGAATGTTGTAAAATCATCCTTCCACACCCTGCTGAATGGGAATGGGCTGAATAATGCATCAGGTACTTACTACAGAAATTGGTGATTCCCGCTGCTCTGTATTCCTGTAGTCGCTTTATTTCCCTTCGCAGCTCAAATTCCACTGTTTTACCCCAAGAGGCAGCAGAAGGGAAATTCAAAAAACAAATGTGGGTCAGTGGGGCTGGCAGTGAACTGTGCTGTACCATGCTATTTCTTGTTTGTCTATGCTGTTCGGCCATGAAGTTTACAGAACCACAGGCAGGGTTAACCTCTCTGCACAGATCTGTATCAGGACTCAAACTCACTGCGTCATAACACTTCCTGATCACAGATTTCAGCTGGTTTCTAACATTTATGTGCTTAAAAAATGTTCTTTTATCTTGATCCTTTGACAGTTCCTTTGCCATGCCCTGGACAAGGCAAATAAGAACGCAGGATTTCTGGAAGGCGTTTCAATAGGTTTGAAAAACTACTCCATGCAGGCTCCTCATAGCATCTAATATTGTCTTTGAACTATGATTTTCACAACTGGACCTTCTAAAATTTTTCCTTGCAAACAACTCTTTTTCTGCAGTCAGTAAGATTAAATACCTATCTTTTGCTCAGAGATATTTACTGCTCATAGCTTTTATCAGCTGGCTTCCAGGCATTCCTTAGTTTTATGGTGAGCAAGTTTGCTTGTCTCGAATTTGTTTACTCATACCACTCAGGGGATGTGTATAATGCGGGTACTTGACTATCAGGTTAATTTGTGGACTTTGCTGTCACTACAACAACAAAAGGAGGTTCCAGGACTAGCACTCATATGTGGGACTCATGATTTAGCAGGATCATGCTTTTGGTATTTCATACAGGGTGTCCTGAAAATACAGTCACAATTGTTTAGATGCTTTGTTTCTTCTAGTGAGCAACAATTTTCCTGGTTTAAATCACAGAATTAAGCAGGATGTAATGACTCGTACTGGCATTTGACTAAGTGCATGCTATGATTATGCATAGAGACTCGAGATGATTCGGTGATGGAACAATGCCTCTCCCTTTAAGGTAAGGGCCATAATGACAGCTGTGCTATATAATTATGTACACATGTAATAGTTTAACATGCATCTTTCAAAGAATTCACAATTTGCTGCCAGCTCCCCATCTCTCAATGCAGACATAAATTTTAGGGATTTTGATCTTTCAGTGAGATAGAGCCCCAGTAGATGAACAGTGGTCTTTTGATAAGAAAATACTACTTGTAACACGACCAGAATGTTTAGTCAACTGAGAAATCAAACAAAGAACTCAGACATAGTTTAGTGGAAAAAAAAAAACACTTGCTGCTCATTTAATGTATCAAACCACAAATGTATTTGTTTTTCTGAGGTAGTTAAATGGGGGAGGAAGAGAAAAACAACCTCCTGCCCTCCAGGAGTGGTATTTATTTAGGAAAGATTGTAGGTGATGCAACCCCCTCATTACACCTGTTGAAGAACATACATGGTAAAATCCTCAAAATACTTACGTGCATGGCTTTCAATGAACTTATCGTGCTCTACCGGTCCAAGAATCCGTGCAAATCGTCGCATTGTTTCATAAAGGTCCTGAACCTCCTTTGGGTATCGCCTTTCCAAAACTAGAGGAGGGAAAAAAGTTAGACACCTTATCACTCCTACTCTGAGAAGAACATAAATTCAGTGGAACCTGAAGTGACTACCAGCCTCTCTGTGACCTGCTCAAAGATCTAGATTTGGTACGCCTCTTGGCCATTTTGGTGTCACAACTACAAACTGAGGAGTAACAAAATGATAGAGCTCTTACAATTCTAAAAGCATAAAGGATGATATTTAAATGTTGTTTGAGCATTTCTTAGAATAGTGAGATGCACAGAAAAGGCCTAGATTTCACCTTCACCCTTCTCCCTACTTGTTGGAGCCCAAAATGCTTCCAAAGAGCAATTCTGAGGCATTAACTAAAACACTTGAGCTGGGAGCAGTTAGAGCCAGCTGGCTGGAAACAGTCAGGGCAGGAAATCTGCTGGAATTCAGGCCATCTGAATGTGGTCCAGTGTGAATAAACCACACCAGAGGACTGGAAACACTGAACAAGTGAAGTTTTGCTTCCCGGGTAGAAGCCACTTTAAAGTTAAACAGTTACATCTGATACTCACTCTGAAATTTTCGGAGGTTGATTAGGCCATGATCTCTTATAATTCTGTAATTGAGAGCAAAATGGGTATTAATAAAAGGCATTAACTCATGTATTACCTCATAAATGCAAAGGCTTCAGAAGAAACTTTGATTTAGACCATCAGAGGGGTCTTAAAACTAAACATGTATGAAACTTCCATAACATTTGAGCTGGCTGGCTGAGAAACATCATGTAGTGATGTAACAGGTTTTTATTGCAGGTGATATAACAGGTGATGCAACAAAATTTACCTTTAATCAAGGTAAATTTTGGAGCGTGGTGTGCATTAGTCCAACTCTGCTAGCACTAAGCACAAAGGGAGCTACAATCCCTTTAAAGGTTTGAAATTGCTTCGTTAGGCACAGATTTTTGCAGCTACAGTGTCTTGTAACTTGTCTTTCCAAAACTGGAAGTAAAGGAATGTCTCGTGCAGCATGACTTCCAGCTTCAGAGAGGGACAAACGTCCTTCTGCTGGAGCAAGGCTGAGAGAGGGACTGTGAATTTCCTCACTAGGAGCAGGATAAAGGAAATTTTCCATGACAGCTCAGATTTTAAAAGGAGGAAACTGATTTAGGTAACTCCTAAGTTTGAAGTGCTCCTGACAAGACTGGGAAATGAGCAGTGTAAAAAGGCAGGTGAGGTATTTACAACTGCATGACAACTATGTTTGTCACAGGTTTTGGCAAATGTCATGTGATCATTGCTATGTGGTGATGTGATAAACACCCGAGTTTTGCAAATGATAAGAGATGCTACAAAGTTGGGCTCGTCAAGGTCAGGTTGGAATTTGCTCTATAAAATCTATTACATTTTTTTTAGTATGTATAAAAGAATATTCCTGCCCCATGTAGAGAAGCTTTTCTGAGAGCGACATCAGCATTTTTACCTCATTTTCCACATTTTTGTCCCATTCTGCTGCAGAAACTTTAGAAAAACTGGCACTGTTTTGAGTTATGTAACTGGGCTTTATGGCACTTTCTTTTAGTGTGACGTGATTAATCATAATGGAAATTATAGCACATAAATATTTCTTTACTGATGAATTACAAAGAACGAGGTCAAAACGTATCAACTCTCACCTGTCGCTCAGCAGAACTATGATGTATTATAAGGAGAAGGAATGGAGGAGTCTTTACTCCAAATTACTAATTCTTCCAGCAAGGAGTAATACAGCAAGATATAATTTTAAATATTGAACAAAGTATTTGAAAGTTATAATATAATTGAATTTAATGAATAGATTGAGTCATTCTAAAAAGCTGTCTAATGAACTGAATAAATTATTCAAATTCACGTCAGCAATATAGTTATCTTCATTACACATTGTGGAAAACTAACTTATGGACCACTAAGAATTAAAAATAATGATGCAAACATTTCTATGGAGAAAGTGGGGGTCTAGCAATTAGTCACAGACTGGCAGCTTTTTTTTTATCCCCCTAAAGTAGAAAATGAATTATGTGCAATCCATCAGCAGGGAACAAAAAGAACAGAGATTTGCCTCTTTTTGCTGGTTCCTAGCCCTGGATTTGTGACTGGTTTCCCAGATAGACCAGTTTCTCAGTTTCTTACTCTGCAAAACAGCTATGTGATATCATAAGGTGTGCTAGAAGCTTAGTTATTTATCTGTAACTGGATTTGGGATGGTAATATGAAGAGCACTGCGTGTGTGACTTTCATGCACTAAAAAGGACTGGAAAATAGGCTTTTCACAATTAATGACTTGTTTTGAGAGTTTAATGGAGCGTTAGGGTGTGTAGAGGTCCTTTGTGAACCACGTGTATAAATCAGGGTCTGTTAATCTGTGTTTTCTGGGCTGGCAGCATTGCTAAAGCCATGTGCCTGATATTAGTCTGTGCACAGAAGGAGAACTACACATCCAAGATGAGGCCTGTACTGCAAATCTCATAGCAGAAGGTCTCCATGCATGGGAATTGTCTGGAAGGATGCTATAGGAAATCAATTACCTTTAGTATTGGGACAACACTGGGGACCAAAACATGGCAATGAAGCAAAGGAACAGAATTACTGCTTGAAAACTCACTTTTTTCTTCTCTGTCTCTCCTTTAACCTGGAATGATAGATATCTACAACCGCAATCTTCAGAGCTGCAAAGTAATAATAATAGAAAAATTACAGAATACATAAGTAATCACTGTATTGGGCTCATTTTCAAGCCTTTATGTTCATGGTAGGCTGAAATACTCAATTGACTTTGCTGTTTTAAAAATCCTGTGGTAATTTGACAGGGGCATACACTCACTGGAGGGTAACCTTCTGCAGGCTATATGTGCTGCCTGTAGAAGCTTTCTCGTGCTTACTCCTTCCAAATACCTTATTGCCTGTAAATATGAACCTGGGTAGATTCTGAGAACTTTTTTCCTCTTCCTTCTTTGACTGTTTTACTATTAGCACTTATTGTTCCTTCATACCTGCAATTGTTAAGTATTCCTTCTCCTGAGAAGCAAATTTATCAGATTTAAGGATCCGAGGTATCATCTTTGGACAAAGTCTTCTTTGCACAGAACAAAACTCCAAAAAATAGAAAGACACAGTTCTGAACTGTGACAATTCAAAGTAGCCTTTGCTACAGTTCTTAAAAACATCTACAAGATTTTAGCTTGTTAACTTCTATACTTATCTGTCTGCCAGAAGAACAAAGAGAACAGTTCATGACAATGTGAAGAAGCACAGGAAAAAGCCATGCTCATTAGAAATCGCATCATTTTCAAAATCAAATCTGTCTGCAGTCTGGCTGCTCCACTTGGAGATCCTTCAGCTTCTTTTTCCTGTAACTGTTAGGTTAATAAACTTTTTTGGTAAATTCTTGAAAGAAAGATAAGGAGACACCTATCACCTTCCCCTCCCTCATTTTGTTCAATAATGCAAAAATTCTAGGTCATTAAATAAGCATCGAGTTGGCTGATTTCTTGGTTGGCTTTTTTTCCTTTACGTTAATCATTTCAATATGCTCTCAGAAGGAGGGGACTTAAGACTTGACAGTGGGTTTACAGTCTGTAGAGACAACGTCCAGCTCTTGGAAATGAAGCAAGAGCAGGTCCCCTTTCAGCCCACTGTGCTGGGGAAACAGGGGTGGCCCAAGAGTGACAGAGCCCAGAATCCACTCCTCTCTCAGCAGTTACAAGAGAAGAGCAAAACTGATACAGGCAGTTTATTGATTGCACTCTTCAATAAATAATTAATAATGCAATTAAGAAAGAAGTGTGGTTATGTGTCTGGTTTAAAGTATGTATTTATATGGAAGGATCAGGAAGCCCCCAGCCTCCAGGCAATTCAGCTGTGCAGTCCTCTGGGTAATAACATTTCTTACAGAGACAGCTAAAGCCCAGGGGCTGTGGGTATTAGCTCAGGAGCCAACTGTTTTCAGTTACACTTGCTGATCCTGTATTAGCAAATGAATCTTCAATTTATACAAACCCGATTTTATGTTAATCTAGGAGCAAAAGATGATGTATGAAGATAGGAGTGATGGTGCAATATCCTTACTTCTTTTTGCAAATTTCTTGCAAAACCAGAGTGCTCGAGAATCATCATGTATTTTCATAAAGAGGTATTTTAAGTTTTCTAATTTAGGAACAAGCACAGGTAGCAAATTCTCCTTCTTGCTTTAATGTAGGGACATGGAACTGGGAAATGCACTAAGTTCAACAGTCATGAAATACATTATTAAGTGTTGGAATTGGAGCCAATTTATGGAAAATATTTGTATATTTTTAAACCCTCCTCAAGCTAAGCTAACATGTTATTTTCTGGGGTTTGTGTGGGCAGCCCTTAATAAGTACATGCAGAAACTGCATTGGAGAACCTCTATAAATATCACCAGTAATTATGCAGCTATAACCATTGCATTTTGATGCTTTCACCTGAGTGCACAATATTCTGAAAGAAATTATGATCAACTGGGGAGAGGAAGGAACAAATGGAGGGAAAAAACAGAGCTTCTGCTTCCAGAAAAATTAGTATTTGCTGCCACACACACTTTTGGAGGGGCTTTTGTTTTTAACAGACATATTCACACAGGAACAACCGATTACAAGATCTGGAATGCATGAATAACTCAGACTACTATACTGTTACATGCTGCATTGAAATGAGAAAAGAGATGCTGTACGAATGAAAATGATTTGCCTGTGCTTTTCCCCACGGATTATGCTGGGGAGGCAGTTGTTTGTACTGGTAATTTAAAATAATCCAAGCTGACACCGTGTTCACAGTGTCCATTTTGGGAAATGATAAGGTTCTCTGAGATGGTCAGAGTAGCTTTGAAGGATTCAGTGATAGGCAGAAATTCAAGGCTCCTTTCTCCATTCCAAAAAATCAAAATATTTTGGTTTCTCAAGAGTGTGTCCAAAACAGCTTCTTTTCTTTTCATTCCTCTTCAGCCTCATTTGGTCTGCAAAAAACTTTTCTGAACACTAATGAGTGAGACCTTTGTTTCATGCTAGCTAACCTCTGTTTGGCATGCATGGCCCAAATAATGGGAAGAATGCAATCTAATCAAAGTAAACAGGCTGTGTATCCAGTCTGTGCCGTGGTTGGCACAAACTTAATGGCACAAACAAATTCACCCTCCTTGGAGGAAAGCAGGACCCTAAGCAAACAGAGTATCTGCCTTTAGAGCATGTCAGGAACTTCCACAAAAGAATAAACATCATGTAATATTTAGAAGGACACTGACTGCCTTGTCTCTCATAAAATGAAATTTCACTACTGTACAGCCAGGGCTGCAGTCTATTTCCACTCACCTCCAAAGCTGTGGTTTCAGCAATTGCTTCCTAGTGTTAGAAGTAAAAATCACTTACAAGAGAAGGAAAGGGGAGAAGCAGCCTGGAAAAAGCTCCATTACTAAGGTTATAATTGAGTCTGATGAAAATTTGTAATTCATGAAATATTCAAGCGCTCTGGGCTGAATGAGATTTGTAAATAGTTGTTTCTTTTGATCTGTCCATTATGTTTTTGTTTAACTGCAACGTATTTGCATGCAGTTATGTTGCAAGTACTGAATAAAAGTTAACAGTTTAGTAAGTTAATGGAAATATGAGAGATTTCATACAATTTCTACCATTTCATTGATATCAAGAAGTGACTGAACAATGTCTGTGGCCTCCTGTGTGGTGGGAGGAGCTGGTGAGAAATGCAGCCGGTACAGGTTTTTGTGTCCCTCATAAAAGGCTGCCTGGGATTCTTTCCATCTTGTATTAAATTGCATTCTTCTTTCTTGTAGAATTACTGAGAACTTGTTTAGAGTGACACAGGAAGATATAACAGGGAAAATGCAATGGGAGCAGGAAACAGAGATGAAGTAGGTTAGATCTAGAACTTTTTATACACTGATTTTTACACAATTTTAAGAAAAGCAGAGCAATGTGAAGGGAAGAAGGGGGAATTCTGTTCTAATGAAAGCACCAAATATTCCTGTGTTACGTGTAACCCAGACATTGCAGCACACATCTGTGACTTGTGAAACAAAAGAGAGATTGTAGAAATCATTCTGGTCGGTGTGTTCTCAGGGCCCAGCTTAAGTACGTTTCAGAAAATGGCACATAAAAGCAGTTTTCAAAAACCAATCTTGAACTCAGTAACGTTTAATGTGTGGCAGAAAAAAAACCTGAGGAATTTTTCACAAACCTGATCCTTAATCTATGCTGCAAGACCCTGTTTGGGCTTCTCTGGGCTATAAAATGTGTTAAAAATCCGTTTTATGTCTTTACCTTTTTTAAAAAAAAAAAGTTTGCTGTTTGGCCAGCAAAAATGTGTCTCGAGCAGGTGTGGAAGATGGTTGCAGGGCTGCTTTTCAAGGTCATTTCTGTAAGATCGAGTGTAAGAAGTTTGCCAGTGGGCAGGGCTGGGGTAGAGAGGCCTTAGAGCTGCTGCCTGGAAGTAGTGGGACAGGAACCCTTGGGAGGGATTACGAGAATCTGGGGCCCCAGGGCTGCCTCACAACCTTCTCCTCCTGTTAACTAGAACTTACAGAGGTTTGTTGAATAATCCAAAAGCCTGTCCTGGCCTTCAGATCCAAATGTTGAGCCATTTTCTACGGTATGAAATCCTCCAATTAGGTTGCAAAATATTCTCAAGCAATTGAGCAGAGTCAGCATCTGAAATCTTTAAAACTGCAGGACAGAGAGGATGTGGCTCCTTCCTTTTTTGTATTAACTTAGAGAAGGGAAAGATCTAATTCCAAAGTTTTTTTAGAAAAGAATTCTTTCTCTCCCCAAGATGTCTCATGTAAAAGAAAACCAGCTGGCTAGACCCTGGGACTTCATTTTTTAGAGGCATTCTCTCTCACGTGGGCAGATCTAGGACAGCTGTGGGAAAGAAGCTGCCAGAGTCCCTGAGCTAAGAGATCGAAAATGTAGTTGGTCACACTCCATAACCTCTGCCAAACAGTTTTCACAGGGCAAATGCCTGACATACTATACTAAATACTGAAGACTACTGAAGAATGGACTAGAGAGCATTCAATGAAATTATCAGGCAAAAGATTTGTCAGACAGAAGGAAGTATTTTTTCACACAACACATAATTTAATTGTAGAACTCCTAACTCAATTGTGGAACTCACTGCTACAGGATGTCATGGGGGTAAAAGTACAAATCTATATAGTTCTAACAGTAGTGAGCTAAGTTCATGGAGGACATGTCCTTTGGTCAAAACAGTCTGAACACAGGCTATAGCTCAAGAAGTCTCTAAACTTACCACTGCAGGAAACATGGAAGATATGCCAGGAATAGTATCAGCCTATATTTGCCTTTTCTTACGTTCTTCTCCTTTTTCTTTCATTCTTCTCCTGTGCATCTGCTGTGGGCTACTAACAGGACACTGAGCTAGATAGCCCCACACTAGCTACTGTGAAGAAAATTAACTCTATCCCAGCCAAAACCAGCATAGTCTGTTTATTCAAACACTGATACGCTGCTACCTGTTTCCAGACAAATTGTTAGCTCAGATACTTTGCTTCTACTTAGCTAAACATCCTCTGCAGTTTATACTGGATAAAATATCACCTGTGTTTTTCCTAAAGAAATGCCTGCTCCTGGTGGGGACTATTTGATTTCAGTCATTCTACTTGACAACTGTCCATCTTTCAGTAGTGAGAGAAGTGCATTATTCTATATATAAGTACCATTTGTACGTCAGTTGATTAACAGCTTTTAAAATAGATCTGAAAGTGAGGATCATAGAAATGTCAGTGTTTAAATCCCAGCAAACAGAAGTGAGATCATTAAAAGTGCATGTTCACTTTTTAAAAAGTGTGTAGAAAAAAAGAGACTCAATGAAATGTGCAGGCACTCTGAAACACTGTTTTCAGAATATGTATGAAAATATGGGACTTACCATGCAAAATGTCTGAATCATCTTCTACAAAATCAATATCCCTTAAATCCCATTCAGCATAGTTGTCAAACTCCTGTACGGAGGTGATTAAGAAATTGTCACTAATTAGCACTAAAAATTCAGTATCAAGTTTCAGTACACGCAGAAGTTCTGCAAACAGAGATATTTACTCATACACAGCGGTACAAGGTTCTATCCTCGAGCAACATACATCACAGGGGAGCTTTAACTAGGGAATGTGTGATATGTACCCCCCTGGCTGTAACTGGAACGGGATGCTGTGATAGGATAATGGAAACTAATCAGGTAATCTCCGTGACTTCCACACTGTGGTGAAAATTCTGCTCAAATGTACAAAACCAACAGGCCCCTATATGGCTGGATTCATCACTTCACATACAGGAACTTGTTTTGCAACAGGAATTGGGGCCCTGGGCCCACAGTTAAAAACACGGCAAACAATGCAGGTCTTTCAAGTGATCTTTGGATCAGGCTCGTATGTGCTTCTCTCAGGCAAATGAAACAGGAGCAGGCTGAAGCTGACCTCTTTGGCTAAGCACCTTCTAGTCCACTTACATAAGAGCCATTCACGGCTGGACATCTGGTGGTAGCCGCACGCCCTACAGCCCTGCGCGCCCAGCCAGGGACTCGCGCATCGCCTGCCAGCAGCTTTGTAGGTCTGCAGCGCCACCCCTCTAATTAAATCCTTGGCTTAATCACTCTGTCCTCTCCTTTCTTCTCATGTTTTTAATATGACAAGTAAAGACCTATAGGCAGGGGCAAACAATTGTGTGTTTGCTGATCTTGTGTTCGGTGGCAAATTTAAAATAAGGGGAGAAGAGAGAGTCTTACCTCAACAAAGTCAGCTCTCGCTGGCATGTACCCAGCCATGTCCCTGGAGAGCAAGGAATCAAAAGTAGGCCGTGGGGGATCATCAGCAGCTGAAAATAATAAAAGTTGTAGTTGTTGTGTAGGGCTTGGGGTCTTTTTTAACACAAAACAATCTGTAAATAGGTGTTTCTTTTGCAGGAAAAGTGGGAATACTTGCTTGAAGAAAAACACCCTGACTGGGCCTTTATTCAGTGTTATAGTCAGAAAAAGACTGAGTTCAGCCAGAGAAAAACGCAGTAATCTGAGATCTTCAGAGTATTTTCAAAAGTCAAACTCAGAAATTCCAGGTAAGAAAAAAAATCATAAATACGATAGTAAAATATAAACTCTACATTTCAGATCTCAGCATCCCCCCAGTAAACCTCTGCAGATCACACAGCCTCAGCCTGCAGGTTCTCTTAGTTAATAGCAACAGGGGTGTGAAATCTGCCATCTTCTGGGTGCCATTTACAGAGAGCTGCGATTCAAGCTACAACTCTGAATTTTTACAGCGCTTCCCAACTGAAGTGCTCAGTGCTTTACAGGCAATAATGGACTGAGGCTCACAACACACTTGTGAAGGAGCTGAGCATTCTAAGTCCCACGCTGCAGATAAAGCAAGCTGAGGCACAGAGAATTTGTCTTGGCTTAGGTCACATAAAAGAATCAATGACAGCCAGAGACAGAACCAAAATTGTCCAGTTCCTACTGCTTTAGCTCTAACCACTTTATCATGAAATTTAAACCTTCAGATACCAAGCAATCTTTTTACCCAGCCATTTTGGGGAGGTTTATAATGGAACAGCTGCGAGACTGGGAAAATTCTAAAGATGTTAAATTTAAGGAAACCTGAAAATTTGTTAAATTGCTGAAATTTAACAGACACTTTTTAAAAGGTGTTTTTAGAGAGAGAGGTTTAAAGTGAATGATTTTATGACAAGGGAATGACTTTATGACAAGTCATATCAGCAGTTATGCCTGGTACACAGTGGATAATTAGATGCAATGTTTTAAAGGTAGAAATCCCTTCTCAGTTAACTTTGCTACCCAGGATCTGGACAGGAAGAGTAACCACCCAGCATCAGGTGAGAACTCACACTGGTATTCACCGTGAAGGATACGCTGTTGTATCGTGCCACGTGTGAAGCAGCTTTGAGGTAGCCTGTCCTTTAAATGAAGATGCACATCCAGGCTTTTGCTGTGGTGATTTCTGTCAGTGACCATTTCCACTGGCTGTGCAGGAACTTCTGGTTTTGAGAACCTGATGTTTGGACCAGACCACTGTTCCCTCCCTTTTCCCACTGAACTGGCTGTCTTGTTTATTTGATACACCAATGGTTTAAGACAGCGTGAAGAGAACTCTTCTACTAACATCATTCAAGTTAGCCAGCAGAACAAGCTCTGCTTTTGGGAATGAGAGCAAACTGCATGTGTGGGGCATGTTTTTCACCAAAGGCTGCTCGTTCCAGTTTTGGAAGAGCAGAGACCTTGCGGGGAAGTTCCCTGAGTGGGCTGGGGAATACTCACGGTGGAAAGGAATGGCTGTTTCGTTGTGCTGCGCCTCCTCCGCCTGCTTCAGGTTCAGAAGTGTAGATGCAAACAAGGGATTATTGATGAAGTGTTTCATATAATGTTTCTCACACTCCTCCTTGGATTTTGTACACATCTGGTTGGCTACGTCCTGCCTGAAGTGGGGAGAGGGGGAGGCTTAATATGAAGAGCACAGAAATATTGAGGTGTTTTTTCTTTCTCTAGTGGAAAAAGACAATTTTGGACAAGATATTGATTGCACTGTGTGCAGAGAACTGATCCATGATGATCTCTGAATTCACATTTTGTGTACTAACACTGAGCCAATACATTTGATACAGTGCTAGGGAGTGCTTTTTTGGTGGTCATGAGTAACTCAATTCACTGTCTTTTCATGAGAAATTCCCTGGTTAATGGAATGGACCAAATCTTTTATACACTTGAAATTTAGTATTGTTATTTATGAGCTTTTTATACATTTTATTAACTCCATGTAATGGTAAATTCTAAGTCCAGAATTGCATTTTGCTTCTCAGGTTTCACTTGTGATTTTAACTGGATAGTGGTTTTTCCTGTTTTGTGTAGCAATGTTAAACTGTTTTTTTTTAAACACCAAAATGGTTGTACAAAACACACTCCAGAAATCTTTGCCAAACTTTCTTGGAAAAGTGGTTGACTAGAAACATGAAGGATTTTTGTCTTAATAAAATGGCTGTGTAAATGGAGTACTTTAAAAAGAAAGAAAAAAAAAAAAAACCACCAACAGCAAAAACTTTAACTTCTGTTAAACTAAAAACTGGATGCAAGGGATTCCAGGAAGAACAGTCAGTTTTTCCTTTATTTGGTAAAGGCTGAAAAGAACCAAGTGTTTAAGGAAAAAGTTAAGATTACTTGTATTGCTAAGTAGGGTGACTATACTAGACACTATACTTGCAGAACACAACTGCAACCAGCTTTCTGTCTTAATTATCACAGCAATGTACACATAAAAAAAATCACAGTTCTGTTTCAGTGAAATCTGGAGTTCTATACTGTTAATATACCTATTTTTTCATGAAGAAGAGAGTGACTCATGACTACAGATCTCCTTTATTTATAAATGCATAAAAATCCTGTAGCAACTACAGAAATTAATGGAACAGAATGTAAAAGTATTAAGTATTTCCAGCGCTCTATCCTAAATATGACAGAGAAGCAGGAAACCTCCAAAAATAACAGTGCCTAGCTAGTCAAATGTAAGCACACTGAAACCACACAAGATAAGAAATTCTGTAGTTGGTTTTTATATAGGAATAAACTGAGGCACAGAAAATCTTGTGCAGTAGGTGAGCTCCTTCAAAACCTTTATGACTCTAATGCGAACTGAAGGAGCTTTGTACTTCACTGGAGGTGCCCTGCATCTCACAAGAAGCCTTTAACAATTTCCTTGTATATCTAACAGCAGATTTGAAACCAGAATCTGCTACCCCAGTCTCACACTTTAGCTGCTAAATTAGTGTCTCACCCACACTAAGTCACTGAACATTTGATGTGCACTCCTGTATTCAACAGTAAGATCCAGTGAAATTAAAGGAAAAACTACCCATCGTTCACTGAAGTTGCCTGAACCACTAAATTCTCACCAGTTTCCAAATCCACAGTCCATCACAGCTTCTAGGAGAGCCATTTCCTCTTGAGCTGTCCAGTTAGGATCCAAGACAGGGAAATCAGAAGTCTAGAGAAGCAAAAAGCAAATCAGACTGCTGTGATCCTCTGTTATAAACCACCACAAGAACAGCAAAGAAGTTCTAAACTACAGAGTAACACAGTATATAACACTGGTAGTTTTAAACTTTTACTGTGTCCCATGAAACCTGATCAAAGAATTGTTGAATTATTTAGGCCACTGGGTCATCAGCTACAATAAAATTGAGTTTGTTGCTACAGATCTTCTGAATATACTGTTACATGTTCTACCTACCAGCTGTAATTTGACAATGTTATGCTATGAAACACACACACAAAAAAATTTAATACTTTTAAAATGATTAAATTTGGGGGAAGAAAAAACAAGAATAGAGAAACAGAAGTTGATTCACATGGTTAAAGAATTGTCAGTCTAGTGAGATGCACTGTGCTATCTAGGCACAATAAAAAAATGTAGCTTTAAATATCTCCACTATTCCATTATGTTCCAGGTGGATATTTTTCTTTGTGCTCAAGGAAGACTTTTTCTGAATAGTTCTAAACCTCTGAATCAAAGAATTGCATCAATTTTCAGTGTAATATTAGTAAGCAAGGGTCTAGCTCCTGGGAAGGCTCGAGTAGGGGTTATCTAAAAGGAATATTTACCATTATCTCATAAGTATGATCACTTTGATGTTTCTTGTATTCAAATCCTCGTGTGAAACACTGTAGAACAAAAGATGAGCGTTATGTCAGTCTCTTACTTCTGCCCTGAAAACATTGTAACTGGCCCATTTTTTCCTTTTATTCTCTGATCATTGAGTATCCAAAACTGACCACCTGATACACTGAAAAAAAGAGAATCAATTTTTATGGTTTTATTTTAGAAAAAAACATTAAATGGTAGAAAAATCTGTGTTAGAGTTGTGTTAAATCTGTCTTTCGTACCAAGACATAACTCCTGTTGATAGACTTTTTTGTGAAGTATTTATGGCAAAGTTAGGCAGGTGAAAGAAGCTTGGAGGTAAGTTTTAAAGTGGATCGTTCCAGGAAGACAGCACAGAGCATTTCTTAAGTATTAAAAACACAGTTTCCCTTTAATCTTGGTTTTCTGTTTAAAAAGCACCAGCATGCTTTGCAGCTATTTTCAACAGTTAAATTTCTGTTTTATTAAGTACAGGTAAATGAACAAAAATATACCCGATGTACAAAATATAGTTTTGTGTATTTTGTATGTATCTGAGGACAAGGCTCAGCTCTTTTTTCAGTTTTAGAGGTTATTGCTATTTTTTACTCATAAATAATAGAACCTTATTTATTTACTAACTAAAACTAGCAGTACTTTCTGTGTTTATCAGATCACACGCATAATTTTTAAAGAACTACATCAGATCACAAACAATGATTGTCAATATTGCAAACTTCCCCCACATTTTCTTTTCCACTTGGGAGGAATGTGGTGACAGGGAAAGGGTTTCTTGATGGCTTTTCTTCCCCATGCTATAAAAAATGACAGAAACGATCTCTCCCTGGACATGCAGCAGCCTGCTCCGTTACCCAGTCAGGCTGACTGCATGTCTTTAGGTAGCTTTGTCTGCCTTCACAAAGATCTCCTTCAGTGAGCTGCTCATGCCTCAGTTCTTCAGCCTCCCACATTTTCTTTGTCATTTCCCTGTCCCTGAGCAAATAAGTGTGTTGATACAAGTTTACAGAGACCAGTTATTAATGTGTTTACGGAACAGCTCGGCACCGGACAGGCCTTTGATGACTTTCTCAAATAAATTAATGCCTTTGCTTTTATCCTTGCACTCACCTGCAAACACAGGAGGAAGGGAGGAGGCCCACACTCAGCACACTTCACGTAGGGCTCTGTGAGGTAGGAAGAGCAACCTCGGCACGGAGGCTTATCAAAAGGGTCATCTGTGAAGCCAAAAGTAAATCTCATAGAACACAAACAAGGCACTGGCTTTTCAGTCACCTAAATTCACTTGTGCCCAGTAATTTTAAGTGAACTCAACTGTCTATAACCTCTTTCCTACTGCAGCTTCTCCAAGTATCTGTTAAAAGGTCCCTGCTCAGCTAGAATTGCAAGAGAGACGTTGGCACTGCATCCCCACTAGACCTGATACGCTGAGAGCTAAATGTAAACTTGTGCAATGGACTCAAAGGAAAATCTCCTCTGTAGCAGCCTCCTGGTACAACTCAGCAGCGATGCTGGGAGCTGCGTTAGCTGGTTGATTAAATCCAGGGCCCATGCTCATGTTCTGCACCCAAAACCAGACCCAAGGCCTTATTTGTGAGAACACTGCACAGGCAGCTGCAGTCTCCTGTCCATCTACCTCAAGTCAGACTCGTAAAGCATATTGCTGTGGTTGCAAAGGCATCAACCAGATTGTTCTGTAACCCGTCCAAGCCTCAGGCTCTGCTCAGATTGCTGAACAAGGAATGAAACACTGCTCTGCAAGTCTTTCTTATTTTGTTCATTGCAAAGGAGTCAAAATAAATAGACTGTCAAGTTCTAAGCCACATTTTTTCCAAGAAAATTGATTTGAACTATCCCAGCTATCAAAAGGAGATAGAAAAAAAGACCTGAATTCCCACTGAATCATTCATGTACTTGTGCTCTTGAGAAGCTGATCAAAGAAGTGACCCTGTGGACCAAATACTGCTAGTTTTCTGTCTCCCTCCCCCAGACGGCTGCTAATGACTTTAAACAATGGCAAACGCTTTCCAAATGTCATCTCATGGTACTTACTGCTGAAGGAGGCCAGGCGTTCCATTCCTCTCCCTCAGCAGCGTTCTTCCTCCTCTGAGTAAAACCCCTCTTGCCTAAAAGCCCGTTGTCCCAGCCAGGATGTGCAGAAAGGGGATTCTCTCCCTGCAGACGTTTCTCACTCCCGGAGCGTCCTGAGCAGAAAAGCAAAAGGGCTGTCAGCAGTTTTTTGTAGCAGGGACATTTGACACGGCTGAGAGTCTGTTTTCTGTGCATGAGAAGAAATCAAATGTGAAGAGACAGGATATGGTGTAAGCAGAGATGAGAAGTGATGGGGTACAAGCCCATCCTGAACTGAGGCTTTCAGTGGGAATGCATGCGCTGGGCAGAATTATGAATAGCTGTTGTGCAAGGAAGTGTTTTGCACCTCCAAAAAGCACTGGGAAGAGAACGAACAGGTTAGAGGTGGCATGGGCACAGCAGGGCAAAAATCTACCAGGCTGATGTCAACTACATTTTCAGTGTTGACTGTCTGGCAGCTCCTATGAACAGCCCTGACTGAGCAGCACCCATCCAGTGAGGTTCTACACTGCCATCCTCTGTCAGGGAACTGAGCTGCTGTCCACTGTGGGGTCTCTGACATGCCTCACTTCCACAAGGTTGTTTTTGCTGGGAATGGCTCAGGCTTCTCACTTACTGAAATCCATATTTCTAGACTTTTCTCCTGCATGCACCACATGAGAAGGCATGGTCCCGAGTTCAGGGACACCACTGAAGCTGTGCAGCTCCCCAACGCTGACGGCAGCTGCTTCCACCCTGGCTACACATCCCTGCACCTCTGCTTAGATCCCCAGAGAACCAAGAGCAACTTCCAAGCTGGACTTTTTACCCCGTGGCCGTAAGTGACAGCGCACAGACCTCTGGGCACTCACACCACTCTGTAAATTGCAAACCACTGCAGCCTCATCTACAGGGCTGTGTGAACCTGTGCACCACCAACCCACTGCAGCAGGGCCAGCACCAAGCACAGCAGCACAGGACAATCCTGCACAGCCTCGTGCACTTCCCAAACCACAGTCCCCCATATCCCACTCCCCATAACCCCACTCCTCAAATCC